GTTGCTGCTGATCTGTTTCATGTTGCTGCTGATCTGTTTCAATGTTGATGTGTTCATGCGTGCACATCTGCTCACAGACTCATGTTCATGTTTGTGCTGATGTTCAATGTTTTATGTTATGAGTGCTTAGTGTATATTTAGTTGATGTTTTTCTTAGTTCATATCTTAGATGTTATTACTGTTTTTCTTATACATTTTATTGTTGGATGTAACTGGGACCCCGTGTACATAATTTCGCTCCACCACATGTACCACATGAGGTGCGAATGACAATAAAGAAACTCTGACTCTGATATACCAGTTTATTTAAATATAATATATATATATATATATATATATATATATATATATATCATGTGGATTTTAGCTTACATATATTACTACATTGAAATACTTATTAATTTAAATTCATCTTGCTTGCACCATTATATTCTACCATGTTGTTTACTATCTCTTTTTAGGACGTTGTAAATATTAAAATTACTTTTTCACTTTTTGATACTTTATTTTTGTACGCTTATTGCATGCTTTAGTATTTCTTGTTTGTTCTTGTTTGTTCTTCTCATCCTAAGCATTTCATTGTACTGTTAACCTTGTAGTAATCTTGCATATGACAAATAAACACAACTTGAACTTCAAACTGTTTTACCATGGTGTGGATAGAAAGAGACATGGAGTAGGGGTGGTCCTGAAGGAGGAGTTGGTAAAGAATGTAGTAGAGGTGAAGAGAGTGCCAGATAGGGTGATGTGTCTGAAGGTAGAAGTAGAAGGTCTGATGCTAAATGTTGTCAGTGGTTATGCTCCACAGGTTGGATGTGATGTGGAGGAGAAAGATACATTTTGTAAAGATCTGGATGAAGTGATAGAGAGTATTCCCAGGGAGGAGAGAGTGGTTTTTCATTCATTTAACCTTTATTTCTACAGGTAAATCCCATTGAGCCTCGAGGACTCATTTACAAGAGAGACCTGATTTCAACAAAGAATGATGACAACAATAAACAGTTATAAAAAGTCATACTACAGGTTTTTTTTAATTACAAATAGGATAGCTAAAAGAAAAAGGTAACATAAAAAACAGCTAGATTCTAAGGCGAATGTAGAAAACTAAAAACAGGAACATGTCTGCATTGGTCCCTGCCAGGAGTCCAACAGATTCTTAAAGCCAGAGAGGTCAAGGTCGAGAGCTTCAAATGTTTTTGTAAGGTATTCCAGGAAACAGGAGCAGAGTAGGAGAAGGTCATTTTGTCTAGTTCAGTCCTCATTGAGGGAACACTGCAGGTAATAATGTCCTGAGAGCGCACGCTGTAGCTGCACTCATGCAGAGACATGTAGGAGGAGATGTATGAAGGCAGCAGACCAGGAAGTGATTTAAAGATGAAAATGTACCAGTGATGGAGCAGACCTGAATGGACATGTTGGTGAAGGAAACAGAGGATGAGGAAGTGATGGGTAGGTTTGGTGTCAAGGAAAGAAACCAGGAAGGACAGGTGGTGGTGGATTTTACCAAGAGAATGGAAATAGCTGTAGTCAGCACTTATTTCCAAAAGAGGGAGGAGCATACAGTGACCTATAAGAGTGGAGGAAGGAGTACGCAGGTCGACTACATTCTGTGTAGAAGAGGAAACCTGAGGGAGATTGGAGGCTGTAAGGTTGTGGCAGGGGAGAGCGTGGCCAGACAGCATCGGATGGTTGTGTGAAGAATGACTGTTGTTGTGAAGAAGAGAAAAAGAGTGAAATCAGAGAAGAAGACCAAATGGTGGAAGATGAAGAAGGAAGAATGATGTGATAAATTCAGAGAGGAGCTGTTAAAGGCTCTGGGTGGTAAGAAAGAGCTTCCAGATGACTGGACTACTACAGCAACAGTAATTAGAGAGACAGGTAGGAAGGTACTTGGTGTGTCATCTGGACAGAGAATGGATGATCAGGAAACCTGGTGGTGGAATAGTGAAGTGCAGGAAGATGTTCAAAGAAAGAGGTTAGACAAGAAGAAATATGACAGAGAGAGGACTGAAGAGAGGAGACAGGAATATAAGGAGATGGGACGTAGAGCAAAGAGGGAGGTAGCTAAGACAAAGCAGAAGGTGTACGATGAGTTTTATGGGAGACTGGACACTAAAGAGGGCGAGAAGGACTTGTACCGATTGGCAAGACAGCAAGATCAGGCTGGAAAGGATGTGCAGCAGGTTAGGCTTATTAAAGATAGGAATGGTAATGTTCTAACAAGTGAGGAGAGTGTAACGGGAAGATGGAAGGAGTACTTTGAAGAGCTAATGAGTGAAGAAAATGAAAGAGAAAGAAGAGTAGATGTCATAGAAACTGTGGACCAGGAAGTGGGAAAGATTAGTGAGGGTGAAGTCCAGAAAGATCTGAAAAGAATGAAGAAGGTGAAGGCAGTAGGACCTGATGACCAGTGGAGGTTTGGAAATGTCTTGGAGAGATGGCAGTGAGGTTTTTGACTCAAATATTCAATGGCATATATGAGGGTGAGAAAATGCCTCATGAATGTGAGACTGCAACGAAGCCAAGATTCAACTTGTCTGCTGGATTCCTTAGATAGAGAACTTCACTAATTGGCTTTTATGTATGTGAATGTTCCAGTAAAGTGCCCTGAGACAACTTTGCTGTGATTTGGCGCTATAGAAATAAACTGAATTGAATTGAATTGACTTGAATGGAGAAGAAGTGTGCTGGTGGCCATTTTTAAGAACAAAGGTGATGTACAGAGTTGTAGCAACTACAGGGGAATTAAGTTGATGAACCACACGATGAAGATCTGGGAGAGAGTTGTGGAAGCAAGACTTAGACGAGAGGTGACTATCTGTGAGCAGCAGGATGGTTTCATGCTGAGAAAGAGCACAAGAAAAAATGTGGTAAAGAGGTGAAGAAGAGAGTCCAGGCAGGATAGAGTGGATGGAGAAAAGTTTCAGCAAAGGAAAAGTTTACAAGACAGTGGTGAGACCAGCTAGTTATCAATGGGGATTTAAGATTGAATAAGTAAAAACATAATCCAGCCACATAATTTAGGTAAACAGGAGGAAATAATGATTTAAAGTTATTGTGACAGTGAAGTGTTTACCTTGTTCCATGATGTTTGATTTAATTTCCCTCAGTTCAGTCTGCAGCTGAAAAATCTTCTCCATCTGGCCCAATGCAAAGGTTTTAGTTGTATAACTGCGTGGATTATCTCCATCAAAAACATTTTTGTCCACAGTCTCCAACAGTTCTGGGATCTGTTTGTTGTCTTTGATGTTGAGAACAACAGATCTTCCTCCACAGCTCTGACAGAGCTCCTGGATGTCCTTGTTCTTCTGTATGAAGGTAACATCAGCTGGAGCTGCAGGGTCGGAGTCCACAGTGAACAGAATCACGGTGAAGTCTTTGACTTGAGAGCTGAACGTGTCCTGGATGATCTGTAACTCTCCCTTGTCTTCATCAGTGAGGGGACCCACAGGTAGGACCAGGATGAAGGCATGGACCCCCTCAGGATCACAGAGGGAGATGCACCTGAGTGATTCCTCCATCACTTCCTCGTGTGGTTTCTCGTACAGAGGAGGCAGCTCCAGCACAGAAACCCAACGTCCACACACCTCCCCCTGATGATGAACACACTCTGAAGGTCTGGAGGCTGGATGAAGATCTGTCTGACCTAAAATGGCTTCAGCTGCTGAAGTCTTCTCTTCTCCTCGGCTCCCAAACAGAACCAGGTTTAAAGGTTTTAGTTCTTTCACAGGAACTGAGAGTTCAGGGTTTTTATTTAATGTTTGTTCAACAATTTGTTCTGATCTTCTGGTTTCTTCAAATAAAATGGAGGTTTCTTGGTTTTTCTGCACAATATCTTCAATCTTCTCCATCAATTGAGTCCTAATCAAATCTTCTTGTGATGAACTGATGTTCTGCTCAGACAGCCCACCTCCCATCAAGTGAGAATGGGATTGAGCCCCATCTTTACCCTGAAAAGGAATAAGCTTCTTTACAAGAGATGCACTATGTGTTTGAATAGTTGGTCCTTCTTCAACCATGTTGTGATGTCTTCCTTCACAGTCTTTGAGAAGTTCACAGACAGAGTCAGAGATCTTCTCCTTGTGTGTGATGATGACCATTGATTGTTTGAAGGTATCTTGACCAAACAAACTAAGGACGAACTTTATATTTTTTTTATTTTCAGTGAATTGTGAAGGTCTCACTACCAGCAGCAGAACGTTTGGTCCAGGAGGACAGAGACCCACACAGCTCTTCACTTCACTTCTCATCTTCTCCCTTGGCAGATTGAACATATCTGGAGTTTTCACCACCGTTACTGGTTTACCTCTCCATTCTCCACTGAAGGCCACACAGTCTGAAGAAGAAGTCCAGTGAGAAACATTCTGGGACCCGATGATGAGCTGAGTGAGTTTCATCTTTTCTTCCTCACTTCTCCCCAACAGCACAATCCTGAGTTCTGAACAACAGGAGAGAAAAAACATCAAAAGACAAACTATGGAGGCGAACAAATGTTTTATTTTACCATTTTGTTAAAAAAATTAAAAACACCACAAACATCACTGAAAGAATTTGAAACTGATTAAAGTAATTAAATGTAATAAAGACAATATTAAAACTAATATTAATCAGTCACTGCTTTGAAATTTTGGTTCAAAACACGTCACATCTGGAGGAACCGCTGGCAGGATGAAAAAAGGTTTGTAGCTCATTCATCCAGGTTGATAATGGTTTATCCTGATCTGAGCAAGATTGAACCACCTGCCACTTATCAGTTACATTCAATTCAGTTCAGTTTATTTCAAAAGCTCCAAGTCACAACATAATTCATCTCAGTGAACTGAACAGATAATTTAATTTAATAATAATTTAACATTATTTATCTGAGGAGCAGACTGCTTTTGAATTTAACTCCATCACATTTATCTCTCTCTGCTTCAGTTGGTTCTTTTTACACTTTATATTTTTGCTGTTTTTAGGTGTAACTGGTAACCCGAGTACATAATTTCATTCCACCTCATGTACCACATGTGATGGGGGTGACAGTAAACTTGAACTGCAGGTCTTACCACGGTTCCTGTCATCCTGTATCTGGAGCGACAGCATTCCTGTTTAAAATGTTCTTAATTTGCCTCATTCTGTCTGTTGGCTGGACTTTAATTATTTTTTATTTTTTTCATTCAACCTTTATTTAAACAGATAAATCACATTGAGCCTCAAAGACTCATTTACAAGTGAGACCTGTTTGGACAGACCAAAAAAGTGGTTAACTGGACACATGTAGGAGTTGGAGGCAAAAACAATTCCTATCAGACTTTTTTCTTGGCTGAGAAAAACCCCTAATATTGAAAAAAACACTTCGCACAAACAAGCACATATTTATGTAGACATTCTGCAATAGAGCAGAGCAGGAAGAAGTAGACGAGAGCGGTCAACAACGTCTACAGATGCTCTCGAGGTCACTGTAATCAGTCAATGTTCTCCGGTGAGATCCATAAACATTCTCGAGGGATGTCGAGGAATGGCCAAGGATAACGTCTATGAGAATCCAAGAGTCCTGAAGTGATGACACAAAGTTTATTCAGCTGGTTTCATCTGGTTATCAGTTGGAAATTCCTCGGGGAGGGGGTGGTGAGCGTCAGATCACATGTTCTCCAGGTGAATTCAGATAAGATGGCCTTCAAGACCAGCCAAGGGAGCCAAATTCAGATAAACACACAGTTGTTTTGGGGACAGGCAGAACTTAATGACATCAACCTTGAGCCTGTGTTGGTCCACTCGGTTCAGAAATGTCCAAAATAACATGGCCACACCGATGGAACGTGACTGAGTAAAATCCCCAAGATCTGATCCATTCAGCCCAAAGCATTTGAGTCTGGGTACTCGAGACACGAACCAAGCCATCATAAAGGCAAGCAGCATGATCGGGTCCAAATTTGCTGCTGACGACTTCCTTGATTGTAGATAAAACCAGCAACCAGCTGAATCCAAAAAGCAGGAACCAATTATCATAAATCCAATTAAATATGTGTCCTTAAAATCCACAGATGGCAGCAGAGATAGACACATCATCAAGTCTTCCAGTCGATGAGATATCCAGCTGCGTGCGTGCCAACAGGGCAAATTGGCTCGCCTAAAGCCTGTCTTCTCTAGAAGAAATGTTGTAAATTGAGTTGAGGGACCAACTGGTCAGAACAAGTCCATAATTATGTTTCAGAAGATACAAGAGAGGCTCAGAAGCAGTTTCACAGACAGACAGAGCAGCAAAGCAGAGAGGGAGGGAGGGAGGCATCCGATCTCATCGAGAGCAAGTGGTGAAGTGAAGTATTTATTTATTTATTTTGGGGGTCCAAAGAATCCAGACTTATTACACTTCAGGTCAGATCAGAACCGTTTTGGAACCTGGTGAAGACCAGATCAGTATTGATCAGTATGTCCTGATACCAAAAACCTGAGAACAGGAGAGTGGACTTTCTCTTGTGGCTTCAGATATTGTTTATTAGTTCTAAAACCCATTTTAATTTATTTATGGGTTTGGTTTAGTTTAGTTTAGTATGTAAAAAAAAATAAAAAAAATAAATCAGCATGAAGCATAATGTCATAACTTTTGTTTTACTTATTCAAGGGAGTGGGTAAAAGTGTAAACTTATCAAAATTCCCACTCCTTAACCACTTACATAATCTTACATTTATTACATGTATAATCCATACATATAGCAACTAAACCCATATTTAATATGTAACTCATCAATATAATATCTATTTAAGTTAACTACAGTAGATAAACAATTATTATTTCTTTAACCAAAATGCTCAAACATCCAGGTATACAATCCAACAATTTTCCGTCAGGTCATCTGGACAGTTTCTTTTTTTTCCGAATGGAAGGTGAAACATTTCAGAAAAAAAAAAGAAACTGTCCAGATGATCTGACTGAAAATTGTTGAATTATTTCTTTAACTTCACCAAAAAACAAAACTAGCATCAAGAACAAAAGCATCAACAATAATTGAATGATAATATTATTTATTATATCCAGCAATAATCATATGTTTATATGATAATTTGAACAGTTCTATGTTTGTACATTGTCTAAGTTAAATATTCAAATTATTCCACAGTTTGACTCCACTCACTGACACACAAGTTTTTTTATAGTAGTTCTGAATTTGCATATTTTAAACAGTGTTCCCTCCTTAACATAAATTTGCTCCTTAGTCTTAAACAGGTTTTGAATGGTTTCCGGTAATTGTTTTTTTTTTTGGTTTTGTAACGAATTAGAGCCGTCTGTAGTTTCACTACGTCAATGAACTTTAATAATTTTAATAATTACCTTTACAGATATTAACAATACTAAAAAAAGAACAATAAGAATAATCTATAAGGTGGGATATTTAGAAAAATATTAAAGGTAATTCTTAAAATGTAGTGTAGTGTAGTTTTGTAATTATTGCCCCATATTTCTGCACAATAACTTAAATAATGTCAGATTAGTGAACACTAGAGTGCATGTAAAGCTTTTTGTTTTATGACCGACTTGGCTGTGTTTAAGAGGACGATATTTCTTGAGACTTTACTTTGAACATGTTTGATGTGTAGTTTCCAGTTGAGTTTATCATCAGTAATGACAATAAGAAATTTGTTTTCATGAACTCTTTCAACTTTCACCTCATACTTCACCACTTGCTCTCGATGAGATCGGATGCTTCCCTCCCTCCCTCTCTGCTTTGTTGCTCTGTCTGTCTGTGAAACTGCTTCTGAGCCTCTCTTGCATCTTCTGAACCATAATTATGGACTTGTTTTGATCAGTTGGTCCCTCATCTCAATCTACAACATTTCTTCAAGAGAAGACAGGCTTTAGGCGAGCCGATTGTCCTATTGACATGCAGCTGGATATCTCATCGACTGGAAGACTTGATGGTGTGTCTATCTCTGCTGCCATCTGTGGATTTTAAGGACGCATATTTAATTGGATTTATGATAACTGGTTCTTGCTTTTTGGATTTGGCTTGTTGCTGGTTTTATCTACAATCAAGGAAGTCGTCAGCAGCAAATTTGGACCCGCTCACGCTGCTTGCCTTTATGATGGCTTGGTTCGTGTCTCGAGTACCCAGACTCAAATGCTTTGGGCTGAATGGATCAGATCTTGGGGATTTTACTCAGACACGTTCCATCGGTGTGGCCATGTAATTTGGACATTTCTGAACCGAGTGGACCAACACAGACTCAAGGTAGATGTCATTAAGTTCTGCCTGTCCCCAAAACAACTGCGTGTTTATCTGAAATTGGCTCCCTTGGCTGGTCTTGAAGGTCATCTTATCTGAATTCACCTGGAGAACATGTGATCTGATGCTCACCACCCCCTCCCCGAGGAATTTCCAACTGATAACCAGATGAAACCAGCTGAATAAACTTTGTGTCATCATTTCAGGACTCTTGGATTCTCATAGTCGTTATTCTTGGCCATTCCTCAACATCCCTCGAGAATGTTTATGGATCTCACCGGAGGACACTGGCTGATTATTCCATCCTTATCAGAACTCTTACAGTGACCTCGAGAGTGTCTATGAGTGAACATGCTCACCGTTCTCGTCCCCCCCGTCTGCAGAATGTCTACGTAAATATGTGCTTGTTTGTGCGAGGTGTTTTTTAATATCAGAGTTTTTTCTTCTCAGGCAGGAAAAAAAAGTCTGATAAGAATTTTTTCACCTCCAACTCCTCCATGTGTCCAGTTTATCACTTTTATTGTCTGTCCAAACAGGTCTCACTTGTAAATTAGTCTTTGAGGCTCAATGTGACTTATCTGTTTAAATAAAGGTTGAATGAATGAATTAATACAACCATGGGTTCTTGGTGGATTTCATCTGGTTCATTACATCATACATACCAGTAACTTGGACATCAGGCATTGGGTCCACAAACATGTCACAGCTCACATGTTGTCCATTGTTGTCTTGAACAATTTCCTCCAGATGTTCCAGCAGCTCAGAACATTTGGTGGTCTTCTTAAAAACAAACTGACCCCTGCACTTCTTCACCATGTCTGAGGCTGTCAGGTTCACCTGGACGCATGCAGCGTCCTCTGTGTGGGGTCGGAACAGAACCACTGAATGGTCAAAGGACCGCTCGTTGAAATATTCAAGGATCCTGCAGAGCTGGACTTTATGTGCCGCAGTGAAGGTTTTGGGCTGCAGGACCAGCAGGAACACGTCAGGTCCAGGAGCAGAAAGCCTCACACAGTTCTTGATGTGCTGTGTGAGTTTGAACTGGGAGATATTGGGAACCAGCAGATCTGGGGTGTTTATGAGGAGAACTTCTTTCTCCATCATCTGTCCTCTGAAGCTCACACAGGTCTCTGGTTCCTCCTCGGTGTTGAACCCAGGTTGTCCCAGCATGAAATTTCCAATGACGCTCCTATCAGACCAGCTGTTCCCCATCAGAACAACCCTCAGCTCAGACACTGGAAACAGAAACAAAGAGAGAAAATGGAAAAGGACACTCAACTTGTCTCTAGCTCTTCCAAACATAGTGCTCAGTACAGCTGATGACCTCACATCATACGAGGAACTGTATATGTGGATATGTCCAGCTCCGTATAGAGGACTTCATCTAAAGAACTTCACAGTCTGAGGAGGTCCAAGGAGGAATTTGATGTTTTGAACCACTTTGGCTATGGCTGCCTCAGAGGAGTCGATGGGGGAGAGGGCGAGCCCCAGAAACCATCTTATCACTAGCAAACTGGTTGGTGCACTATGTGAGGGTGCTGCTTGTGGAACTGAGTTTGTTGTGTCTCCTCGGAATGATGAAGTCCTTTGGATGAAGTATAAAATATCTCAACAAAAAAAGAAACCGACCAGATGATCTGACTGAACTTTGTTAAAATGAAAGTAGTGTTATAATAAAACAATAAATCAAGGTGCCACAAAACAAGACCCAGACATTTTTCTCCACAGCCACCTCTTTCAGCTTTTCTGGGAGGACCCCAAGGCATTCCCAGGGCAAGCGAGAGACGTAGTCTCTCCAGCGTTTCCTGGGTTTTCCCCGGGGTCTTCTCCCAGTTGGACATGCCCAAAGCACCTCCCTAGGGAGACACCCAGGGAGCATCCTTACCAGATGCCTGAACCACCTCAACTGGCTCCTTTGGATATGGAGGAACAGCAGTTCTCCTCTGAGTCTCTCCTGATAACTGAACTTCTCACCCTGTCTCTAAGGGAGAGTCCAGCTACCCTGCAGTGGAAACTCATTTCAACCTCCTGTATCCACAATCTCATTCTTTCAATCACTACCCAGAGTTCATGACCAGAGGTGAGGGTAGGAACATAGACCGAATGGTAAACAGAGAGCTTTTCCTTACAGCTCAGCTCCCTCTTCACCACAATTTTTGAAGAGGAGGACCATCACCCCAGTCCACCAATTAAGTGGCACTGCCCCTGATGTCCATGCGATCTTGCAATGACATGCCAACCAAGTCAGCCCCACAACATCCAGAGCCTTAAGGAAATAAGGGCAAATTTCATCCACCCCCGAAGACCTGCCACCATGGTTGGAGCTTTTTAACTACCTCGGTGACCTCAGCAATGGTTATGGACAGACAAACCCCAAAGTCCCCCAACTCAGCTTCTTCCATGGAAGATGAGCCAGTGGTACTGAGAATGTCCGAGAAGTATTCATTCCACCTTCTGATGACATCACTGGTTCAGGTCAACAGTACTCCACCTTCACTGAACATAGAGTTTGTAAAGCGCTGCTTTCAAATTCGCAGCTGCCTGATGGTTTGCCAAAATCTCCTCCTAGATGACAGAGTCTCTATCTATGGCCTTACCAAACTCCTTCCACATCCTAGCTTTTGCCTCAGCAACAGCCAAGGCTGTGAACCACTTGGCTCTCCGGTACTCCTCAGCTGACTCCAGAGTCCCACCAGCCAACAAGGCCCAATAGGAGTCCTTCAGCTTGACAGCCTCCCTAACCCAGAGTTTCCACAACCGAGTTTGAGGATGGCCACAGCGAGAAGCACCAACAGCTTCGAGGCCACAGCTCAAGTCAGCCACCTCAATAATTGAGGCTTGGAACAACAGAAGAAAAAAAGCTCTTCAGAGAGTGGTGATGGCTGCACAGAAGACTGTTGGAGTCAGTCTCCTCACTAGCACAAACATCTGCAGCTCCAGATGCAGGAAGAGGGCCACCTGCATCATGAAGGACCCCACTCACCCAGCACACACACTTTTGACCCCGCTTCCCTCACGAAGGAGGTTGAGGAGAATTAAGTGTAGAACCAGTAGACTGAGGAACAGCTTCTACCCTGAGGCTGTTAGACTCATGAATCTATAACCAGAATAATCACTGTGACTCAAATAAATTAAATTCAGTTTATTTCTATAGCACCAAGTCACAACAGACGTCATCTCAGGGCACTGAACAGAAACATTCATGTACAGTAGTCCCTCATTTATCGCAGGGGATTCGTACCCTGAAGCCCCACGATAAGTGAAAAACCGCAAAGTAGGAATAGTAGTACAAGTAGTAAGTAGTAGTTTATTTTAATACAGTATACTTGTATATATATGTATATATATATATATATATATATATATATATATAT